GCAGTCAAGAAATCAAAGAACGTATTGCATTAGGCAAATCTGCTGCACAAAACCTTTATAAAGTGTTGAAGAGCAAGGATGTCAGCTTGAGGACTAAGGTGTACCTGACCCAAGCCATGGTATTTTCAATAACCTCATGTGGATGCGAAAGCTGGACAGTGAATAAGGAAGACTGTAGAAGAACTGATGCTTTTGAGTTGTGATATTGGAGGAGACTATTGAAAGTGCCATGGGCTGCCAAAAGAACCAATAGATCCATTTTGGAAGAAGTGCAGCCAGAGTGCTCCTTGGAGGCCAGGATGGCCAGGCTTTGTCTTTCATACTTTGGACATGTTGTCAGGAAGTACCAGTTGCTGGAAACGGATATCCTGTTTGGTAAGGTGGAGGGTCAAAGAAAAAGAGAGAGATCCCCAATGAGATGGAATGGCCAAGTAGCAGCATCGATGGACTCAAGCGTGGCAGTGGTAGTAAGGTGGGCCTAGGATCCGGCATTGCTTTTTTCTGCTGTGCATAGGGTCACTATGAGTCAGTACCAACTTGATGGCACCTAACAACAACAACAACAACGCCCCCAGTGTCCATTCAATTGAGAGCAGCCCACACCCCCATGGAAGCATCCTTTCAATTGATTGGTTGGTCTCAGCCACTCATCATAGAGTTAACTATGTCTGTATTACATTACATCACCATGGGATTAAACACATCTCAACTGCTAACCTTTGCAAATCCTGGCCTAGTTAAGTTGACAGAGAACCCTAATACATGTAGCAATCAACCCTCTACCTTAACAAACTATTACAATTAGCCTTAAGATTAAAATAGATAATGCACAACCAATGGAAATCTATTAACATAAACTGGATTATGTAATTTGCAACACTTACAGGATCATCTTTAAGTCTCTCACTGTAAGTTTTGCTGTTTAATATAAGGAATTCAGGCAGATTACTTAAAACCAAACAAAGCCCTGTATTCACATAGTTTAATGCATGTCTTCTTGAAAGGACCAGACTAACTCTTGGGAAATGGAAATTGGATCAACTGAAATACACTCTGAACCTTTTCTTACCATGTATATGATTCATTCTTAGGGCTTGCTGTCAAATCTTCTCCCATGGCAGGAGATGAGAACTGGATAGTCCATTTCCAGGACTAACTTCTCTCTCTTCCCTGACTCTCCTGACATTTTACTATCTTTTAGTAACCAAGGGCTACTCAGACCTATCATCCTGTAAGAGCTTTGAATTTTTTCCTCTAAGTCAGTGTTTCCCAGCATCTACTTCATTAGAATCAAGAATATGTTAATAATTCATGTTCCTGAAACCCACCCTAAACCTAATGATTGAGAATCTGAGACTAAGAACCAGGAATCAGCACTTTTTTACAGGTCATCTAAATGATTCTTTTGCATTGACTCATGGTCCCAACTGTCAGACTGGATGAACATGGCTTACCATGTTGATGTCTGATCTGCATAGTATGTTTCATCTCAGGGATGGTCAGGCTTTTTAGCTGAAGACAGTCTTTAAGGACTGAATCTCAATCAGCAATTGCATTCAGAAGGGCAGGATACCAAAACCAAAAAACCCACTGCCATTGAATTGTTCCAATTCATATCAACCCTATAAAGGGTTTCCAAGGGTCTAAATCTTTCAGGTTCAGAAGCCTCATCTTTTCCCCAAGGAGCCACTGGTGGGTTTGAACTGCGGCCTTATGGTTAGCAGCACCACCAGGGTACCTTCCCTTCTCTCTTTCCCCGTACTTTCTGTTTCTTTCCTTCACATTTTTTCTTGTCTTGTGTCCTCCTTCAATATAGAACCCTTTCATGAATGCATGTATCAGTCAGTAAACTGTACAAACAACCTTAGATTTGTATGCAGTTTAATAGTTTCAGGTTCATTCCATTCTGTGGAAAGCATGTTACAACTAGACATGAAAGTAAACTGGCCATATTCCTATAGGAACCATGTAACACAGTATTGTGAGAAAGAGAAAGCAAGAAAGATTATATTATCACTGAATTAAAGTTAAGTATGTTCCTCTGAGTCCCGGAGTGGCACTGTGGGTTAATGTGCCAGACTGCAAAGCCATTTGAACTGCAAGTTTGGCAGTTCAAGCTCACCAGCTGCTCCTTGGAAACCCTATACAGGGTCGTTATGGGTTGGAACTGACTCGACAGCACTAAACAACAACAAATGTTCTCTTGAAATTATTGCCCTGACATATTTTTAAACCTTAACCCAAAAATAACACTGAAGACTTAAAATCAAACAATTGTTGCTGTTAGTCACTTTCAAGTCAGTTCTGACCCATAACGACCCTACACATAACAGAACAAAACACTGCCCTGTCCTGTGCCAACCTCACAACTGTTGTTCCATTTGAGCCCATTGCTGCTGCCACTGTGCCAGTCAGTAGTTTAGCTTAACTAGTAAACCAAGCAATAGTTTAGCTTCACTAGTAAAAAATGTCGGCCGTGAGCGTTATACTCTTTTTAAAGAACTGTCTCTATGGGATCAAATTGACAGCAGCAACTTAAAAGATCAAATGGGAAACCAAGGAGGCAGTGAATTTATGTTAAAGGGGAAGGAATAACTGAAAACGAGGGTCAGAATAGTTGTACAACTTGAAAAATATAATCAGTGTCACTAAATGGTACGTGTAGAAACTGTTGAATTGGTGTATATTTTGCTGTATATATTCTTCTTTTTTTTAATGTTTTATTGTGAATTATGTAATAGTTTACATGGGAGAACATTAGCTTTACATTCATCCTATTGTATATCGTTTCATTGCCATGGTTACAATCCCCTCCATGCATCATCAACCAACCAAAGGCTGTACCCTACAATCCTGCCCCCTGGTGTCAGCACACAGCCCCTCTCCCTCTCTGGGTCTAAAATCCCCAGCTGCTCCATCTCTCCACATCATCGTGTCTGCCTCCATCTCTGGAGTCACTGCTTCTCTGGGTAGGGTCTCGCACTCCACTCTTCTCCCTTGATGGTCCTAGGGACCTCCGCTCCTAGACAGCAAAGTGAATCACTCCCCTCCTTTTGCTACAAAATGTCTACCTTTACATTTCCAACCCTCACAATCAGTCCTGATATTCACTATTGTACCACAAAAGACCTATCCCCATCTCATTTCATCAGACCCACCCAGACAGACTGGATACTACTCAGTGGAGATTCTACCTTCCTCCACGCCCTCTGGATTAAAGGTTCCCTCTTAAAAGCTTGTAAGCCAGTCACTTCTTGCTATTGTAGCCCCCGCCTCCCATTTTGGGTAGCCAGTGTCCAAACTGCCCATCCCTGTCTGTTCTGTGTATGGAGGAGGTTATACATTCTTAACAGCAACAAAATTAATATACTTAAAAAAAAATAATCATGTTTTTTTTTTTTTAATGCATGACTTCTTAGAGCCTTCAGTTAGATAATGTACATTGTGAATTTCTCAGAGAAGGCTATCATTTATGTTCCAGATTTCCTTGAGGAACATCTTAAAGATATAATACTCTCTGGACCACATTTTGGGAAAGGCTGTTCTACATTTTAGCAGGTGGCCTGTTATCTTAGTTCTCTTGTGCTGCTCTAACAGAAATACCACAGGTGGAAGGTTTTAACAAACAGAAATTTATTCTCGGACTGTTAGGGAGGCTAGAAGTGAAATTCAGAGTGCAGAGTCTGGGGGAAGGCTTTCTCTTTCTGTCAGCTCTGGAGAAAGGTCTCTTTCCAGCATCTGTAGGTCCAGCATCCCTTGGCTTCCTTGATTCCTGTGTCTTGGCATCATTCTTCCTCTAGATCTGAGAACTTCACAGTGCAGGAACCTCGCTCCCCACCCCACCCTCACCCTCAGTCCAAAGGAAGCCTTTCACTCTTGCTGTTCTTTCTTGGTGGTAGTAGGTCTCTCACTTCTCTCTCCTTTTCTCTTTGTAAGATAAAAGATGTCGTATGCCACACCACTGGGAAACTCCCTTACATTGGCTCAGGCTTGTGATCAGATTAACACAACCCACCCTTTAATCTTCTTATTGGTTGATCACATTCAATCACATCATGGGGAATCATTATGTAACTGCCACATTACTTGCCAAACGTCGAACTGCCAAACTACTGAGGGTCGTGACCCAACCAAGTTGACACATATTTTGGGGGAACACAATTTGATTTGTGACACCTACCTCTTGGTTACACTCATGCTACAATATGATTTATATTTTCTGTGACCGAAAACTCTTGGGCTGAGGTTGATTTCAGGTAATTATTGTGGCTGCTTAGGTTTTGGGTTTTGATTTATACTTGAAGCAAAAGTACCCAACCTTGATCTTCATTTTCGGTTATTTCAATAAACTTCACATTTCAGATATACATTTTAGACTTCACTAAATTTCTTTTTAAGCATGCTATGTAATCCTTGTCCAATATCTTACTGTAGATTTTTCTTCTCTTTGACTTGACTAAAAGAATGTTTTTTCTTAAATAAATGTGAATGTTCCTGTTCTCTGTGTTTATTTGAAAACTTGTGCTCATTACATACTCATATTTCTACGTTCTCCCTCTTGTTTCTGCTAGCATTTTGGTAATTAAGAAACAGCCTTTCTAGACAGACTCTGCAAATAAGCTTTTAAATCCATACAGTTTTTTTAAATATAAGTTGTAAATGACTGCTTTTTGAAGAACTTAGATCTGTTGTTTTCACAAATACTTTACTTCTATTCCCTTCTTTTCAGAGATTGGTTTCTATTATTTTCCCATAAAAGATTAGATCTTTTGAATTGATGTTGTATTGAATTTCTTTAACAAATCTTAAAAGAGTTTAATCATGGGTGCCAACAGAATAACAGTAAAAACTTCATCATAAAGACTTAAGACTACATGAGACACTGTCGTTTTAGAGATTGCTTGTAAGTTGGGTTCACTGCATTAAAATTTGCCTTAGAAATACTACTGTTATGATAAAGCAAGATTGCAGTGAACATTTTTAATGGACTTTGTTTCTAGCCTCTACAGAGGTCGGCTGTGATGCTGTATGGGAGAAAGACTTCAATTCACACATTTGCTACCAATTCAACTTGCTTTCATCTCTCTCTTGGAGTGAGGCACATTCTTCATGCCAGCTGCAAGGAGGTGCTTTATTGAGTATTGAGGACGAGACTGAAGAAAATTTTATAAGGAGTAAGTAGGTGAACGATGCACATTGATTTAAATGCAATTAAAATGACTATTCAATTATGTTGAACTAGAGGGCATCTAACATGAACACAGCTTTAAAATTTTTTGAAAGTGTCTCAAAATATGTCACTTTCATGAAAAGTTACTGACCCTGGTTTTTTTTTTTTTCCCCCACATTTTATTGCACAAGTTGTTGTTAAATGCCATCGAGTTGGTTCCAACTCATAGCAATTCTATATAGGGTTTCCAAGGAGTGGCTGGTGAGTTTGAACTTCTGACTTTGCAGTTCAAACCCACCTTAAGGTTGAGTGCTTACCTTATGGCACCACACCATGACTTCTAATTTTTCAAATTCAGGTATATGGAAAGAAAACAAAAGCTAACTCTCTGATAATTCTACAATTCATACATAACCATGTTTCTGTGTTGTTGTTGGTAAGTGCCATTGAGTTGGTTCCAATTCATAGCAGCCCTGTGTAGGGTTTCTGAGGAACCACTGGTGGGTTTGAATTACCGACCTTGTAGTTGGCAATCCAACACTTATCCTACAGTGCCACACCAGGACTCCATGTTTCTCTATACAAGCATGTAAATGGATGTATATATACATAATACCTACAACAAAATGGTATTGAATAAATTCATGAGACAACTGTTATTAATAATAATAGTTAAGAGCAAGGACTTGGGTTTGAATACCATTTCCCTCACTTACCAACAGGCTTATCCAGGCATATGACTAAAGCTTTCTATTCTTCAACTTTCTCTTCTCTAAAGTGGAGATAAAAATAGTACCTACCTGTTGATGGCATGGATTGAACATCATAATGCAGAAAAGTAATTGGCACGTAGACACTCAAAGTGTACTGTTAACCATTTCACAAACTGTGAATACATCTAGTAATCTGTTTATTTCCTTAAGTGCATTTAATGAACATGTGTCCATTTTATACAGATCTTCATCTGTTTGCACTATACAGAGATTCAATTATACAAATAGTATGTTTATTTTAGAATAATATTTATTATTCAGGTACACAAAGAGAAAAACCAAAAAGACCCCATAATTCCACCATTTTGACAACCATATTTCTTTGCACCAGCTCACCAGTGCACGTCAGCATCATAGTATCTGTAGCAAAAACAATATTGAATTAAAATATGAAGCGCAGTGGTGCATTGGTTAGGATCAGGGACCACAGAGCCAGCCTGCTATAAAAACCTCTCCCACGCAATGGTGAAGAAACAGTGGATGTTCCCACCCCTGCTGTATAAGGTTTTTCTGAGGAGCAGCTAGTAGATTTGAACATCCACCTTGAGGCTAGTTGTCCATGCTTATCCTATAGTGCCACACTAGGACGCCTTCATATACCTTCTTAAATTTGAAGACAAGCCCCCTTCCACCAACACTTTCCCCTTTCTTACCAGATTTCTAAAATTAAGCATTTTAAATGTTTAAATTTTTAACAGTGAAAACATTTCAAAACCACTGAAAAGTACAGAACATGATAAGTACATGGACATGTACCCAGTATACAGATTTAATGCATGTCCTCCTAGTTTCCTTTCTCAGGATCTGAGAGTAGTGAAGACCTGAGTCCACAAACTCAGCCACCAGCCACAGGAGAAGGAAAGAGAGGCAATTTCTAGGCATGGTCTTAACACTTCTTTATTTACCCTCTAAACTCTTAAATAAGTGAGCTCACACAAGTTGGCCTCAAATGTGTAACCATGTATCCTTAGAAACTGATGGTCATTGAAAATCACCATCTTTGGATGCTTGGATTAAGCTCTTCACTATGAAATAACTGCTCTCAGTGAGCTTTAAGGAAAGGTTGGGTTTCTCAAGACGGTGGATCTTGCTGTATTATTCTGAAATGCCAAGGAGCTAGAGTTTCCTGTAATTTACTGGGATTAATTCATAACTCCATGGCCCAAGAGTCGGAAAACATGAAATAAATGCAGTGTTGATTTTTTTTGGTGTGAAATTCTGCAATTCTTTCATTTCAGAGCACTTAAGCAATGATGCAGTGGCAGTGTGGATAGGTCTAAATCAGCTGGATGAAAATGCTGGCTGGCAATGGTCAGATGGAACACCACTCAATTATCTCAACTGGAGCCCAGGTACCCAGAGCAATTTGTTTACCTGATACCTGTGGCATCACCCCACAGCCTTAAACAGTAGTATTTCCCACGTATATAAAAATCACATTATTCTGAAAGTGACTTTAAAGTATTTTTGAACACCCATTGGATTTTTATAAGGTAACCCTTTCTAGACAAGAAAAGGAAGCCAAGAGGTAAATTAGTTAGCCAATGTTGGGATATAGTTTGGGTCAGAGACCCAATTCTAGTCAGTTGTTTTAAAAATTAGCAACACCTTGCAAAATATTTCTCTGCTTAGAACAATAAAACTGACTCTTGTAGTCTTTGGGAAATAATTTAATTCTTATGCCAGGAGTTTGATTATAAATGCATAGTTATAATAATGTCTTACAGATTTTACTATATGAGAGTAAATAAAAAAGTATTGCTATAGAATCATTGAACTTTTTATTATACAAAAATATCAAAATGTGAAGCTATTGTTTCTCAACGTAGTCTCCAACTTAGATCTATACACTTCTGAAGGCAGTGTTTCCATTCCAGAACCTTCCCTGAAGAATTCAACACTCTTCAAATTAAACCATGTCAAAACAACAGTTTTGAGTTCCCTGAGGGACTAATATCGTGTTCTGTTTAAATATCCTTTAAGTTTAAGAAACAAAAAGAAGTCTGAAGCGGGGAGAATAGAGCTGTTGGGTGGATGGGGTTTCCCAAGGAAAGAGTCCTTGCCACCCTCACAGAATGTGCATATACATTGTTGTGATGGGAAAAAAATGTCTCTGCTTGTTTTCCTGGCTTGTTCCTCACCAGTGTAGTTCTCAATTTCCTTAAAACTTCTTCATTAAAAGCCCCATCATTTCTTGTGTCCTTCAAGAAACTCTATCAAGCTTACCCCTTGGTGTTCACCATGCAAAAAACAAAAAACAGTTAGTTACCTTAACCTTCTAAACTGACTTTACTGCCTTGAATTTAACTGGCCCAGCAGATCTTCTCAAAAGTCACTATTTTTATTGGACATTGTTTTGGAAGGCACCCTAACAAAATTAAGACAAGTGTATTCCTGAGAGAACTAATCTGCAGCCATCTACTCATTGCAAGAACATGTGTAATCATGTTTTGTTTTAAATAAACCAGTGCATGTATGAACTGGAACCCTAGTAAACGTACTTTTTGACTTTTTAACATCAAGGTATGTCCCCTTGATGTTAAAACTCTATTTCAATACATATTGAATATTCAATAATATTGAATACATATTTGCGTCTAACCATAACAATAAAATCCACATTTTGTATTTTCAGACATAAACTTTGAGGCATTTGTTGAATATCACTGTGGTACATTTAACTCATTCATGCCAAATGCCTGGAAGAGCCAGGATTGTGAGTCTGCCTTGCCCTATGTATGTAAAAAATACTTAAACCACACTGATCACGATGCAGTAGGTAAGTGTTTTTATTCAAGTTGTTCTTGTACATTGCTTAACTGTCATCTGAACATGCTCAAATTCTTCTATGTTCTGGTAATAATTTATCATTTAAACTCAGCTAAGGTTGACTCCTGGTGTGGCGCTGTAGGATCAGCACTGGTCTGTGAACTATAAGGTCAGCGGTTCAAACCCACCAGCAACTCCTCGGAAACCCTAAACAGGATTGTTATGGGTCAGAACTGACTTGAAGGCATTTAGCAACAACAGCAAGGCTGTTTTCTATTCCTGTGAATAAATAGGAATAACTAAATAATACCTGGCATTTCAAAGGCACCATGAATTCCAAAAATACAATTAGGTTTTTACTAAAAACTAAGGAGCCATCATGGTAGGATAAGGGGTTCTGAATTGGGCTGCGAATCACAAGGTCAGCAGTTGAAATCCACCAGCTGCTCTGTGGGAGGAAGATGAGGCTTTCTGCTCCCGTAAAGATTTACAGCCTTGGGAACCCTCTTCAGGGTCACTGTGAGTCAGAACCGACTAGACAGCATGCAGCAGCAATCTAAAACTAATTGTGGAGATGGAGCAGCATTTCCTTCGGTTTTCTATGAGGTTGTCATGAGTCAGTGACCATGAGAAGGTAACAACAATAAAACAAAATAAAATAAAACAAAATAGCCTGACCATCTAAAACATTTCATTCCTCTCCTTAATTTTTTTTTTTTTTTTTTTTTTTGCCTACTCAGTCATCCTACCAGAAAAGCAGCATTTGCTTCCTTTTCTATTCTAGTTGTGAGTTTGATTTGTGGTGCCCCTAGAACAAGGGTGGGGAACCTTTTTTCTGCCAAAATTTATGACATCATTCACAGATCATACAAAATTATGAACTTAAAAATTAGCCTGCTATATTTGGTCAAGGGAGTCCTGGTGTCGTCTTGTAGGATAAGCACTGGGCCATAAAGACAGTTTGAACTGCAAGGTTGGTGGTTCAAACTCACTAACCGCTCCTTAGAAATCCTATACAGGGTCTCTGAGTTGGAACTGACTCGATGACATTTAACAGCAACAACATATTTGGTCAGACACTTAATTAGATTAACCCACTCCTAACGTGGTGGCTTAAGGAACTCTGGTAGCGTAGTGGTTATGAATCGGGCTGAGAACCACAAGGTTAGCAGTTCAAAACTACCAGCTGTTCCGCGGGAGAAAGATGAGGCTTTCTGCTCCCGTAAAAATTTACAGCTTCGGAAACTGTTCACAGGGTCGCTGTGAGTCGGAACCGATTCCATGGCACATAACAACAACAACAACAATGTGGTGGCTTAAACTATGGTTGCCTTGTCAGGGCTAGACCAGATGATTTCATGGGCCTACTTATACAGCCTGCAGACCATATGTTCCCCACTAGTGCCCCAGAAGGTAAATAAATCAGAAAATAATTTTCTGAAATTCTTTACTTCCTCAAATTTCTCCCAAACTCTATGCTCTTATTAGTAATACCCCCATAGCATACAAAACATTTAGGTGTAATTAAGACTTAAGTAATGCCTAATTACAGTCTGGACTCCTGGTGTGGCACTGTAGGATCAGCTCTGAACTGTGAGCCATAGGTTGGCAGTTCAAACCCACCAGCTTCTCCTCAGAAACCCTGTACAGGGTTGCTATGAGTTAGAACTGACTCGATGGCACTTATCAACAACGGCAGCAAATATAGTCTAGTACCTGAGGTCCCGACTCGATGGCACTTAACAACAACAACAACAACAACCTGAGGTCCAAATATTTCTGTTTATAAGGTCTATTGCTTCCTTCCAGTTTCTGTGGGAATGAATTATTTAATTCAGAAAGTAAAGATAAGAAAATAACTATATTTAAAAGAAGCATAATTAAAAGTCACTGTAAAATAATAAGCTGAATTATCATTTTAAATATTTCTAGATCGTGCCTGAAGATTTTAAACAGATTTGTTGAGGGATGTTATAAGTATACTTGGGCAACAATTTGCAAATTTATAAATTGCTGGAAAGTACAGAAAATGACAAGGGCTTTTATATAGAAGTTTAGGGATACATCAGTTAGCCTGTAAACGGCCTGTGCAAGCATTTTGCTTATCTTTCAAGGCTAGAGACAACTTGTATAAAAACTTTCTTTAAGAGTGGCCATACTTGTGCCTTCTATTCTCTCCATCCTCCCCAAGTTAGTGCACGAGGGTGTGTCAAAAATTATCTGCACCTAGCTTATATTAAAACGTCCATCCATGTCCATGGCTCCACAATGTGGAGCATGTTCCTGAAATGATTCTATCAAATAGAGGAGTGACAGTGGATTATGTGCAGGTCATTTGCAAATCAGCCATGGCTGTCTGTGAAATAACCCAAAGTAGACTTGGATTTCGAAAAGTTTGTGCTGGATGAATACCAGAACAACTCAGGGAAGAGCATAAACAGAAGTATTTGGACATCTGCAAACAAAATTTGGACTGATACTTGAAGGAAGATAAAACATTTTTATTAAGAATCTGTTACTGGTGACAAGACATGGATTCATCACGATGAGCCTGACAATGAATGGAAGAGTTTGGAATGGAAACATCTTCAATCGCTGAACAAGAAAAAGTTTAAAAGTCAACTATCAGCTGGAAAATTGATGCTTACAGTATTCTGGGATGCTCAAGGGCCAGTGTTAGAGCATTATCAAGAAAAGGATTCAACAATCAACAAAGCTCATTACAGTGAGATAATCACTGAAGAGCTGAAGCCTAAACTTGGGATTGAATGCAGAGGACTGCTATCCAAGGGCATTGTGACCTTGCAGGACAATGCATGTCCTCACATCTCTGACCACACTGTTGACACTCTGCAAAATTTTATTTTGAAGTGTTAAAGCATCCTCCCTGCAGTCCTGAGCTTGCTCCATTGGACTTTCACCTGTTTGGTCCCCTGAAAGCAGCCCTTTGAGGACGAATATTCACCTCTAATGAAGAAGTGAAGACAGCAGTGCATTCATGACTTGCAGCTCAGCCTAAAACATTTTTTAATAAGAGAATATGAAAGATAGTTGACAGATGAACAAAGTACATAAAATATCAAGAAAATAATGTTGAAAATGATGTATTTCTCTTTTCTAAAAGTCGATGAAAAAAAAATCTACAGTCAGAATGCAGATAATTTTTGGCTTACCCTGGTAGGTTAATTCATTACTTTGAGCTCAGCTCAAATGTTACCTACTTATTAGGTCTGTTAGTAGAATATAGATGGAGCTCAGTCTGTAACCTGGACAGAAGTCTCTTCTGTGCCATGAACCTAGATTTGAAGGGGTGTTCCACATCCCTCTTTTTGAAATTTACTGATTGTTATTGTAAGAGTGATTTCTTCTGTGTGGATTTATTTTCCTTATGTCTTTTAGATGGTTGTCTATTTGAGAGATAGGCTTTTAGACCCCAAAACAACCCATGAAACGTAGTTGGGCACTATCTGTTTTGTGTTTGCCATTCCATAGCTTGGGCCTCTACTTGTGTGATCTTTTAAGGAAAAGGTTTGTAAGCAGAACCGAATCAGTAGGAATACTTGGCAGAAAGGACCACTAACCATGACAAAGAACCAAACTAGTTTCTAAGGAATAGTGGTTTCTTCAAAGTACATGATCATTTACATAATGAGTGGCATTACATGGAGTAAGCATTTGGCATATATTTCATAAAATTGTTTAACTTTGACAATAAGCTTGTCTTACTATGGTGGCTTGGCATGGAGCTATGATGCTGAAAGCTGTGCTACCGCTGTTTCAAATACCAGCAAGGCCTTCCATGTAGGTTTCAACAGAAGTTCCAGACTAAGAGGAAGTAATAGGTGGTCCATTTCTGAGGGATTAGCCACTGAAAACCTATCAAATCTAGCAACAGAACACTGTCTGATATGGTACTCAAAGATGAGCTTCTAAGCTTGGAAGGCACTCAGAATGTAACTAGCTGGCTGCCTCCTCAAAGTCTAGTTGATCTTAATGAGATGGATGGTGCGAAGCTTTCAGGAACTTCATTTGCTGATAGGGCACAACTCAAAATGAGAAGAAACAAATGCAAACATCCATTAACAATAAGAATATGGAATGTATGAAGTACGACTCTAGGAAAATTGGGAGTCATTAAAAATGAAACGGAATGCATAAAGATCGGTACTAATGAGCAGAAATAGACATATAGTATCGGCCATTTTGAGTTGGACAGTCATATGATTTACTATTCCAGGAGTGACAAATTAAAAAAGAATGGAGTCATATTCATCATCAAAAAGAATATTTCAAGACCTGTCATGAATTCTATGCTGTCTATGATAGGATATCTATACACCTACAAGGTAGACCAGTTAATACAGTTATTCAGATTTGTGCACCAACCACCAAAATCTTCTGTGGAAGACCACAGAAGAATTGATGTTTTTTTGAATTATGGTGGTGGAGGAGAATATTGAAAGTGCCATGGGCTGCCCATAGAACCAGCAGATCTCTGTTGGAAGAAATGGAGCCAGAGTGCTCCTTGGAGGCCAAGATGGCCAAATTTCATTTCTTATACTTCGGACATATTGTCAGGAGGGACCAGCCGCTGAAGAAGGATATTATGCTTGGTAAGGTGGCGGGTCAGAGTGAAAGAGGAAGACCCCCAATGAGATGGATTGGCAAAGTGGCAGCATTGATGGACTTAAGCGTGGCAACAATAGTGAGGTTGGCCCAGGACAGGGCGGTGTTTCGTTATGCTGTGCATAAGGTCGCTATGGGTTGATACCTACCAACCTGATGACACCTAACAACAACAACAATATTTGAAGAGATGAGAGAAAAGCTTGATATTATAGTCAAAACAAGGGTCAACTATGGAATATTGACTATCAGTTGTTCTTAAGAAAGTTCAGACTGATGTTTTCTGCATTTTTCATTATTTTGCCTATGGAATCCTTCAGTATTTCAGTTCAAGGCTTGAATTTTCTCTTCAGTTCCCTCAGTGTGAGAAATGCTGAGTGTATTCTTCCC